TATACATATACACACACACACATACACACACATGTATGTGTGTGTGTGTGTGTGTGTGTGTGTGTGTGTGTGTGTGTGTGTGTGTGTGTGTGTGTGTGTGTGTGTGTGTGTGTGTGTGTATGTGTGTATACATGTATGTATATGTATGTGTGTGTGTGTGTGTGTGTGTGTTCCGTTTATTTAGTTATATAAAATGCAAATAGACCAATTGTCTAAGCACTTCATTGCTCCTCGGCCCAGCCATACGCGTAGTTGCGTAGTTCCCTCATTTCAGTCTCTTTCGTTTTATTTCAAAGTGTATCATCTGTGAAATAAACTTTCCTGTTATTACTCTATATTGGAATGTATTTACAATACACACACACACACACACACACATATACATATATATATGTGTGTGTGTGTGTGTGTGTGTGTGTGTGTGTGTGTGTGTGTGTGTGTGTGTAAGGGAGAGAGAGAGAGAGAGAATATATGTGTGTGTGTGTGTGTGTGTGTGTAAATATATTTGTATATGTATATTTGTGTGTGTATATATATATATATATGTGTGTGTGTGTGTGTGTGTGTGTGTGTGTGTGTATCTATATATTTGTATGAATATATATTTGTATCTCTCTCTCTCTCTCTCTCTCTCTCTCTCTCTCTCTCTCTCTCTCTCTCTCTCTCTATATATATATATATATATATATATATATATATATATATATATATATATATATATATATGCACAGTATATATATATATGGGAAGTGGGATCGGGTCAGTCTAGTTGTATTCGGAAAGTTCATATAGAAACGCCAAAAATGACGGGAAAGTGATATGTAACAATAATAATAAATAATAAATTGAAATATATTTGTAATTCGGTTTTAAGTTATAAGTGCATATAAAGTTATCAGTACAAGACTCATAACTATAAAACGGGTAATTCTCAGCAGATTTATAACTTTTAACACGAAAACGACAGTTACTTACCATTTAAATCTACAACGGTCATCACTGTCGCATTTGAATACACGTTATGGGACCTTCCTTTAAAACTTCCTACAATCAAAGACATATTAACAGGAAACACAAGTGTGCACGAGCTTACAATAAAAATGTGTCACTATGATGTAATGTTCTTTGTTTCTTATTATCATTATTTTTATTATTATTATTATTATATTATGTATTATTAATGATTTTTTCTTGTATGAGTTTCATGAGGGGAGCCTGTGATGTTTTTGTTATTATTTCAAATGCTTTCTTTGCGCTTCAGGTGCAGAAGCTAATCGAGGCAAATTAACCAATATTGGAAAATAAACTTAGAAAGACCAAAACATTGATAAAAACATAAAATTTGAGGAATGATGCAAAAGAATAGTGCCAAAAGGCAAAAATAAATTGTTCTTGTTATTTTTTCTTTCTACTGTAAAAGTTTACGAGTCAAGATCAGCCAGTGTGATATAATTTTTGTCAGTTAATTTCATAAATGTTTTTTTTTTTTTCTTTCAGGGGCAGGAACTACCCAGCATAAACTGACACCAAATGGAATACAATATCTGTATTGCATTAATCCCGAGCAACGACAAATCACTGTTCAGGTATGGTATCAACTAAAGGTACAAATGCTTATTGAAAATACGATTTTTTTCTTTTTAATTATATATTTCCCTTTTTATTGTAGTAATTTTAGAGAGAGCGCGGGTCTAAAATTGCTCTGCGTGGTGTTTCGAGTTTTAATGTGACTATTAGTGGCCATTTTTATTCTGACGCTTATAGTAAACGCCTTTTTTCCCCTTGAATGTTGAACTTAGACTCACTATATTTATGTTACCAATAAGAAAGAAAAAGCTCTTGGAACGGGAGCACTAATATCCCGGGAGAAGAAAAGTGGCTCAATGTCATTTCGGAATCATCGCCCTCCGCTTGTACCCAGACCAGCATATCCCGTGTTCTTTATCCGCGTGTTCCCTTACTGCGTTGTGAGTCATACGTACGTTAACTACCATTGCTGTCCACCACTGGCTTTTGCAACAGGGGACAACGGTGGTCGTAGTGTCCTTTTGACTCGCAACATGAACACACATCTCCGAAAACCGCTTGACCAATACTTCCTACGACACGGCATGTCTTCAAAACCACATGAGGACACGAATGGGCCCTTTCATTTATTTTCCTTCCCTTCTCCCATAAATGCGCTAAGCCATATAGATGATATGTGCAGTCACTCTCACGTTGGTTTTGGTAACTGCAATATTTTCTCTTTTTTTTTTGCTTGAAATAGAAACGTTCTCACTCTCGCTCTATCCTTCTGACGCGCATTACTGTGTGAACACAATATTGCCAAGAAACATGAAATATCGTTCATAAAGTATTTGATTAATTTTCACTGTTTTTAGAGATTTATAATGTTTCAACTACAACGAATTGAATGCGTTCGTGAATTTCTCTCAATCTGATAAATAACTCTGTGACTGACTGTTCACACGGTCTTATTCTTCAGTTCGTCTAATTATCTTACTTATTTCATTTATCTTTATCACGAACGTCATAAAATTTACTTCTGCTCTCATGAATGGCGCGCCTCCTCGTCTTGACCTGTAGTAGACCATCTCGCTGTTCCCGTTATTTGGCTGTTTGTAATTGTTCACAAGATAGGAATAAGTGTAGCATTGTTACATTCCTCAATGCTGACATGTTCTAACGGCGCTAGAACGGAGCTTGTAACAGAATTTTATCATATGTTTGTCATTGAGTATAGCGTTAGAATCTTCCCCATATCAGAGTGCACTGGGATGCCCGATATAACCCGGGGTTGCGTTAATCGCCTAATAGACCTACGCTCCGACGTTACGATAGTAGGTAAAAGTATACGTGAAGTTATTCGTTTGATAAATAAATATATATATATATATATATGTGTGTGTGTGTGTGTGTGTGTGTGTGTGTGTGTGCATAGTATGTGTAGTAGTATATATATATATATATATATGTATATATATATATATAATCACCGCGGCGGCCGAAACGCGGTTGATTAGGAAGGGCATCCAGTCAGGCAACGGTGACGCTGCCATATAACTTCTCAATAGTGAATTGATAGAGGCCTATGTCCTGCAGTGGAATGAATGGCTGTTAAAAAAAAAATGTATGTATATATATAAACAACGATTAACGGCATGCACGACCGTGTTTGTCTTATTATATCTTCAGAAAATGAATTGCACATATGTTCATCTCAGGGAGCTGCTTTAACATATTCTACCCAATAGAATTTCAGTTTGTCTTTGAGTTTTGGCCTTCTCACTTCTCCTCCAGTAGCTGCCAATGGAAGTTGGTGTCTCGTGTTGCATATCAGCACCAACCTGATATTATTATTGTTGTAGTTATGATAATTATAATATTCCCACCAGCTGCCTGCTTCACCTGTTATTACTCTCGGCAAATCTCAGTGCTCCCAAAAATATTTTTTTCTAGATCCATTCAGTATCATCATAGAACGTAACATTTTATTGCCAGATCTTTTAAAGGAAGGATCACTGATACTGTTTCTAACCTAATCAACAAACGCAAACAAAGTTTATTTATTGATTGATTTACTTATTTATTCATTTATATCAAACAGTAAAGTTTGATATACTTTCTTGGAAGTACTTTCCTGCATCCTCAGTGAGGGTTTACAAGAACATAGGAACATTGACCACTGAACAATATCCGAAGCATGGACTTTTTTCTTTGTTCCATTTTTTCTCTCCTTTTTAGGCATTTATTTGTTTATGTATCATATACTGATCACTTTCAACCGATGTGTGTGTGTACGTGTGCGTGTGCGTGTGTGTGCGTGTGCGTGTGCGTGCTCGTGTGCGCGTGCGTGTGCGTGTGTGTGTGTGTGCGTGTGCGTGTGTGTGTGTGTGTGTGTTCGTGTGTGTGTGTGTGTGTAGATCTAGACAGATATAGAGCTATGCTGTTTACACAACTTCAAAACCCCGCCAGGTCGTGTACTTCGCCTTCTTCGAATCGCGCTACTTCCTGCGCGTGACGGACGGGCAAGCGCTGTCTCCGATCGTCATCATGGAGAAGAGCGTCTATGGCTCTGACTTCGGCTTGGGTGACGTTATTATGATTAAACAGGTTTGGATTTTTTTTATATTATTGTATGGAGGGAAATTGTCATGAGGATATACAGATGGATGTCACGAAATATTAAGTTAGATTCACTGCTATAAACGGTATAGAGCTTCAGTTGTTCAAGCACAACAGGAAACCAATCATATTCATTCACACAACATTCACTAATCTTCACATAATATAATTTCTGGTTTTAATTCCCCCGACAGCGAGCATGGCATTCCGATGACAAACCAGACTGGCAGAAGGGACTTGAGGACAACGATTTCTGGCATATCTATATAACGGATTATACCGTCTCTGCCCATTTTGCCAGTGTCGGACAGGTAATTGGCACTTACGACGAAAAGGCTGCCAGTTACCGGGAGGCAGTTGGTAATATCCGTCATTTCTTAGAAGATGTAAGTTATATGATTGAATGTAATGATTGAGCTCTGAAAGTATGGTTTTTTTCATGTGACTTTTAAGTTTGTTGGCGGAAATTAGGGTGTATGGACAAGGTCATTGTAGAGAAATTTCAAATACAAAAAAAAGGAAAAGCTAATAGATTTTTAAGGAGGAGGAACAATGTCGGATACTGATACTTACTTAATATTTGAAGATTAACCGTACAGTTCTGTTTTGCCTTATATAATATCAAAATGAAATTAAAGTTCAAAATATTTTTAATCTCAAAACAAAAAAATCCTTAAATATAGTATTATAACAAATCGAAGTAGTGTCACTCGAATAAGCTATATTCTCGTATATTTATGTTGTATTATTTTAATCCGTCACAAGGCGTTGAAAATAACTAAAAGGGCGCCACTTAAAAATATATATATATACATATATGCTAGGTTTTGTAAAATTGCATACTTATACTTTCAGAGACTTCTTGTTAATATATTGCTTCACTGCTTTTGAAAACTTGAAAAAATAAAGATAAAAAACATTTATGATATAGAATATAGTAAAAAATGATAATAATAATAAGCTAGCAAAAATTATGATTTCATTATTTATTTATCTCTGTACCTGTTCTCTGTCTGTCATACATGGTGTACTTCTTATTTCTTCTTATCTTCTTGCAGAAAAGTAATGATATGAATGTGAGCTCCTTGATATCACTGGTGAGTTAAAGTGAGATTTATTTAATTTGTTTATTCATATATTTATCCATTTACTGTTGATTTGTTATTTGCTATTAATTCAGTTATGTATTTATCCATTCATTTATTGTTAATTATATATATATATAGTTAATTTATTTCTAGTGTTTGTTATTTATGCATTTATTTGATTATTTATCTTCTAACCTGCTTAGTTGTTTCTTTTCACTTATTTTATTTATTTGCCTATTGTGTACCATTAAATTCTTATATATTTATTTAGATATGTTACACCTTCGCCCTTTTTAATCAGTTATGTGTGTTATTTATATATCTATTTATAAATCAATGATTTTTATCAATCTGTTTATCACTATTTAAACATCAATGATATTTGTCCTATACTTTACGCGAATATAAAATTCATATTTTCATAAAAATTGTTTGCTATGGCATTGTAAAAAATATACACTGTGTAATACAATATATATATATATTTTATAGAACTGAAGCAGTAATACAATATGTAGTCAATTTTAATTCAGATCATACGGATATACTAGTACACTGCATGATACAACAAATAGCCTGTAACTTAAGATCTTGCTAATTCAGTTCAAATATCATTTTCTTTAAGAACCCACTGAAAGTCGAAGCCATTAATAAGTCTTCTACGATTGTTAGAGACTGCGGTACCTTCTCTCACAAGCTCAAGGACTACCGAAGTGCTGTTGACGATTTTTCTAAGGGTAAGTTTCTCGTGTTTAAGACTAATATGTCTCTCAGCAGAGAGAAAAGAGGAGAGGGAGGGAAGGGGGGAAAGGGAGAGGGAGGGATGGAAAGGGAGAGGGAAGGGAGGAGGGAGAAGAAGAGGGAGGAAGGGGGAAGGTAAAAGAAGGGAGAAGGGAATGGGAGGGGAAGGGAAATATATATATATATATATATATATATATATATATATATATATATATATATACATATATATATATATATATATATATATATATATATATATATATATATATATATATATATATATATATATATATATATAGAGAGAGAGAGAGAGAGAGAGAGAGAGAGAGAGAGAGAGAGAGTATGATGTAATAATCTGATGGGTGATCTGGGAAACCCAAAACTTGAAACTAAGAAGGACCTTTAGCCTCGCTCTGGGACGAGGTTAAAGAGGTGACAAGGGTGGCAGCGGAGTCCTGGTCAGAATTGATTGGCTGCGACACGATGTAGCTCGACAATGATTAGCTAACACACATATATTTATTTTGTCATTTTTTACGTTCCCGCATGAATTCAAGGCTTTCCGTATATATCGCGTGCATACGGAATGTCAACTATACGTTGCAAGACCGGATTGCAGACTTCACACCTTCGTCGAAGCAGCTGCCTTTCTCCATGGGCAGGACGCAGGTGCTGCCTGGCTTTCTCTTTTCGCATAGGAATAAACATCCGCCCTCCAAGGAAACCGCCGCATAAAAGGGCACGTGCGCAAAACGAGAGAGAGAGATTCGGCAGACAGGCCAAGCCACTCAGGGTCCAGCTCCACCACCTCGTCCTCCACCCGGGGGACACGCGGGTCTCTTGGGGTGTCTCCTATCTACCTTCACCAATAAACCATCAAGCTAAGACCCCTTTCACTGACTGCCCCAAGACCATCTCACTTACGCTTACATCTGATGGCAGCGGTGTTGCCGATCCACGCTATCTGCCGACAAGCTACTTCTGCCGAAGTCGCTGAATTTTACTAAGTGCCATCCCTAGGACTTATAACTGAACCCAAATCGCTTTCGTGACGTCCTCTCGAAGTTCGATATCTTATCCTCATTTATGCTGGAATTTATGCTTCTTTAGTTTAAGGAAGCGCCCGAGACGCGCACTGTTAGATTATTACCGCAAGTTGATTTTCAGCCCGGCTCATGACTGTAAACGAAGGAATCCTGTGCCAGAGAGAGAGAGAGAGAGAGAGTAGTGAGTTCAGTATTCTACTGAACTCACTAATCCAAACAAATCTAAGTAATTAACACCCACTTACTGGACACGTTACCCTTCTTGTGACAAATTGTTATTATTATGCTCTCATTTTTTCTTGCAACTTAGTAAGGTGATTGACAAATATATCATTATCCTCCTCCTTAGCCCTTTTACTGGCCTGGTACACTTATGTTTCAGCTTCTGAAGATGATTGACCCTCCTTACTACTGAATGTTGCACCTCAGTGCGAAACCTCCGCCGCACCCGCTACCCTGGCACGCGACGACCCTAGCGACTATCGGATTACCAG